GTGGTGAAGTGTGCAGAAAATTCTGCCGGACTGAAATTTAGTCTTCAAGAGTGCAAATAAGATTTAAAGTTTTAAGTACCTTTCAGGCTCGCGTGAGGTTTCCACAAGCAACAAAGTCTACTTGAACAAACACTTCACTAAAGTTTAGAAAATAATATACATACAGACCGTTACAGTTTGAAGTGAGGTACGCTCACAGTACTCTGGTTCTGTCTTACAGTTATTAATTTTAATTTCAAAGATCTTTTTTTTATTATCATCTGTGTGTTTTTTCAAATTATGATGGACCTTTCTGTAGGTTGTTGTGTATGAAGTGTCCTCAGTGCAGAGCTAAACAAGATGGCCTTGTAGGACATACAGGAAATATTTGATATTTATTTGATATATTTTTTTGAATATTTGATAAACTTTTGGTGGGGTTAAGGCCTTGATCTCTTCTTCCTCTGCAGTTAAGACGTTTATCTCCATCTCACACACAATAGTGGACAACACTTCGATGAAATATAGTGTTTAATAAATTATTTACATTTTTCTTAGAGTTTAATTAAGTTTATTATGACAGTCAGTAAGCTCTTCTTTATCCTGTTTCATGAGACGGCAAAGATCAGTCTCATACTCAGAGGTCTATTTTTGCATAAGATCCTCATGAATTCATCTTTATGCCATACATTGGTCCTGTTTGGTCATTAATAAGCCACTCTTCACAGTTCACTTGGTTAAAATGGCATCGGCAGAAGATGTGGCAATATCTCATGACAACATGTCTTCCACATGCGTAGGACAGATACACCCGTATAAATCGCCATCTCTGCTGACACTCAATTTTAGTTTATTCTGTAGGGGTCAGGACTGGTTGTCCTTGGTAGTGGAGGTGTTTATGTCACTGGAGTGGTCATGCATTGAGCTCCTGCGGGGCAGCATTGGCCGACAGCGCAACAGAGCGAGAAGTTCACGGGACACGCTGCTGGAAAAGGCTGTGTAGATCCATGGGTTTGTACAGGAGTTTAGACTGGCTAACAGCATCAGGATAGTGAAAGCCACTCCTGAGAATGAGGGAGGGAGGAAGAGAAAGTCAAATTAATTTCAAGTAAATTATTGTACAGGTCAAGTTATTGTCCTTATTAAACCACATTAGAGACAGCGACTCCTTGAAATGTGCTAATCTAAAACAAGTTTAAAAACTCGACTAAAACCTTGTTTTTACTTTCGCAAATGCTCGCCCAAGCTAGCAGGGAATGTTTTTAGAACTTTGGCTAATGTTCTGCCAAGGTTCTTTTAAAGTTATGTTCCAGTAATGTTAATAGAATGTTCGTTCCAAGTTATCGGGTCTTTAATAACTTTATCAAAACATTAGCACAAAAACATTCTTTAAACATCATTCATGCAATGTTTTTCTAAAAATTTTAGTTGGATGTTCATCTTATGTTTTTTAAATATTACCTACTAGTTTCAAATAGTTTAGAGAACAATCATTTCCCTAATGTTTGCAAAAAGGTAGAATTGAACATTCCCTTAGTGATTTCTCTAATGTTCACATAACCAAAAAAAATTGTTTTTTTTGAATATTCTGAGAACATTCAGAAATATTGTTTTCCCACATTAATGGAAACAATAGCAAAACATTCTTAGAATATATTTTTGTTACCTGGGGCCACTCTGAATGACTCAAATCATTTATACTTGCACTTTTCTCTGAATTATTGACTAAACCAGCAATAGCCTTTACAAAGTGCTGTATTAAGGATATTTATAGTTAAACTTTAGCATTATTTGCAGTAGTGTTACACTGCCTCAAAAAAAAAAAAAAACAGTTTTGGCATCACAAAAATAAATTACATTTTAAAATATATTAAAATAGAAAACAGATATTTAAATTTCTAATACTATTTTACAATATCACTGTTTTTACTGTATTTTACAGTACCGTATAAGAGACTTCTTTCAACCCATTCTAACCTATTTTTAAAAAATCTTACCAGCCCCAACTTGTACCCAAACTTGGTAGTGTATAGAGCTTTAAACTGGAATAGGAAATAATGGGAAGACATCCAAGCAGAGATTTATAATGACAAAAAATATATTCTAGTTTAAGTTTCCATTGTTGGAAATGCAGTAAGAAAATTTCTTACACTAAACAGTTTATATGACATTCAACTGTTCAATCAGTGGCGATATGTTGCAAATTTGGCTGCAAGTAAACAGTTGAAACAAATCAAAAGCAGCTGGAGTAAAAGCACATGTGTGTATTAGCAGCTCTCAGTGGCCTGTGGTGAGAGATATCAACATCTTGTTGGTGATTGAAGAGCAGCAGGGGAATAGGTTATTTATTGGTGTGAAGAAATGGGCTTTAGGAGAAAGAGAGGAAGATAGAGCGAGGAAAGAGATGGACTAAGGAGAGAAATGGAGGGCATTTGCAGGACATTTCTTGTAGTAAACACTGACTTGCATTGACAGGCTACACATTTTCCGGATAATTTGCAACCATTCCAAATCATTTCCACAATCCACTGAGTCAGTCCTCTTGTAAAGGAATTAATAATACCCTTACTGAACAGCCAAATGTCATCATTGAATTGTACCTCACGCGTTTACCTCCAAAAATGGCTATGCTATCTTTCTTATGAGGACTGCTTTAGTTTCTCACCTTGGTCAGGGGGATTGGGGTCCCAGGCAGCCCACAGCTGTACAATGAAGAAGGGTGACCAGCAAAAGGTGTAGACAAGCACAATCACCAGAGTCATCCTCACTGTTTTAGACATTGCCTTCGATACACCTCTAAGAGGTGGATGGAGGGGGTAAGGTGGGAAAGAGGGGGTTGAGGAAGCACTGGAGTCCTCAGTAGTGGTGTTGTAAGAGTTCCTGTGAGGAACAGAGTTCCCATGTGGTGTCTGGACAGCAGCAGAGTTGCTCCAGATAGTGTGAGGGTGAGTCTGAATGCGAGGCAGCACATCAGGGGATGAACTGTGAGTCTGTGAGGCCAGGTCTTTGGGACTGCCATTCTGACAAGATTGGTCACAACAATCCGGCTCTGGTGAGTTCTCAGAGTTGCAGGTGTGGGAATGGGACGAGTCACTGTTGGTGTTCTTTTTATGGAGTTCTCTTGCTTCTCTCATCTTGCGTGAGCATCTAGCTCTCTCTTGGACTGTGCTGGCCCGTTTTTTGAAGATAGGAAAGTGAGAAATGACCAGGTTCTTCTTCATGTCAGCAGAAACCACACGTTCTGATTTCAGGTAGATGTTGTCATGGATCTCTTTGAATATTCGTACCTAGAGACCCAAATATATAAATAAATAATAGGGCTGTCATACTGAACACAGTGATACATTACGATGAATTAAATTTGTTTAATATTTTAACCCATTCCATTTTACACTGTAACTGCTTCATTCTGTTCTGGGTTATTACTAAAGATCACAAGTAGGTGTCGCTGTTTAATTCACTAACATATTATTAACAAATTAGTGGTGGGGATTTCGTCAGTGACTCGAATCGTTTGAATTGGTTCACTGAAAAGATTCACTTAGATTGGTTTACTCATTCGTTCACAGAACATTTGTGCAGGTTGTTTGTGTTTGTTATGAGAGATTCGGGAATCATTTATGCAAGGTATTTGTTTAAAACCATTGATTATTTATCTTTAATTTATGTCAACCTCTGGACTACAGGAGTTTTAAAGGGGTCATATGATGCGATTTCAAGTTTTCCTTTCTCTTTGGAGTGTTACAAGTTGATTGTGCATAGATAAGATCCCTGAAGTTGCAAAGACTAAAGTCTCAAAACCAAAGAGATATTATTTATCAAAGTTAAGACTCTGCCACGCCCCCCCGATTATGAAATCTGGTTGCAGTAGGTCCAGCCAATGAAATTCTCCTTCACAACCCGCACTCGATAGCTATTGGCTCGTAAACAAAAGACTTTTGACAAACAAGCCAGAGCATGGAAACGAACGAGATGTATTCACTTTAATTATTTGTTCAAAAAACTGATTCTTTCTCGAACGATACGGCTTTACTTTATACACGCACAATGGCGGTTCTCAGCTCTGAATTCTGTCCAAATTTAGAACATTGACCATCTACCAAAGAGCTGATGAATTGAATCAGGTATGTTACATAAGGAAGATATCCAGAATGTGCAGTGTTGAGAATCACTGCTTTCCAATCTCTAGCACTCATTTATTAAGTGAATGATGGAGAAAGCCTCTCTTAATGGACATCTTGTTTATAAACCAAACCCGTATGGGACGTTTAACAGAAGTAATTTAAAAGCTTTGTATGGTGGAATTGAATCACCAATGACACTCAAGTATGAAATATTAATTGCAAGTGAAACACACCATCATTTGTACAAACATTCACAAGATGTCAAAAGACATCTGCAGGTCAGCGGCAAAAACAACTTTACATGTGTAAGTTCATAATGTGAGAGTTTGTTCATTACTGCAGTATTTGTGGAGTTTTCTGGGAATTGTTTGATGTATTTTATGGATGTAGAATCTTTTTTCCATGCCAGTAAGAAATTAGCCTGGAAAGATTACTATGCAGGTGTTAAATGGGCAGACCAGCCTTGAGAAGATTCTTGCAAAATGTTTTCAAAAGATTTTTTGTTGCCAAAGACACATTGTCCACACTCAGTGGAAAGCAGTTTTAGGTTTGGTTTACGCAAAGTGTAGGCTACTCTTTCTTAAATAAGATTGATTTCCATGGGAACTGTATCAGCTGGTGAAGGGAAATATCTGCACATTAGAGAACTCATCTCCTGGAATAGATTTTCACTGACCAAAACCCCTTGGCCAGGTCAGAGAGCATAATCTTACCAAATATATGTCAGGGGATCTGCCTCCTCTCAAATTATTGTCACCCTAGAAGATCATGTTTTATCTCAAGATAACAAAAGTCCTTTTTCCAGATCACAGCTGAGACATTTCAGTGGAGTGCTGCATGAATGAGTCCTTAAACCTGGAAACGAGTTCACATAAACAGCCTGGAAACATTTTTGCACTGCTGTTTCCATCGTCATGAAATGAATTCAGTGGGTTTAGGCTAAATGCCTGAAATAAGTTTTTTGGCTTATTACACAAGCTCAAGATATCTTCATGTTTTATTCTGTGACATAAAATACATCAGCAGTATCTCACTTGTGATTTGTAAAAGTTTTTATGTGTCTTGAAAAAGGCATTTGCTAACAATTGGCTAAATGGGACAATAGAGGTTTTTGGGGTCACTATACAGTGGGTACGGAAAGTATTCAGACCCCCTTAAATTTTTCACTCTTTGTTATATTGTCTGCAAAAATGTCAACAATTCTGTGTTTATCTGTCAACATGGGGTGCTGTGTGTACATTAATGAGGAAAAAAAATTAACTTAAATGATTTTAGAAAATGGCTGCAATATAACAAAGAGTGAAAAATTTAAGGGGGTCTGAATACTTTCCGTACCCACTGTAGCCTACATCACACCAAACAGGATCTACTCACTAGTCCACTTTCACAGCCTTGTTGTGTTTATACTCAACTCAAACTTTCCAACTTATAGAATTTAAATAAAGATTAAAAGAGTTGACAGAAGCTTAATGTTGATGACATTGAAATCATGCGACTGTAGTTTATATATAGCCTAAGCTTTTACATCTGGTGATTGTATAGGCTTTAAAATTCATAAAAGTTCTGTTTATTTGTGAAGACTCTTGATGAACAAAATGTGTAAGAATGATAAACTTCTGTCGGTCACAGATTTTATTTTCTTAGAGTGTATGTTGATCTGATATAAAAAGAAACAGTAAATCACATACATTATTTACATTTAAACTGCAACCACTAGTAGTAATTCTTAACTAATGTGTTAACATTTATGTATTTTTTATAAGGTGAATGGAAAAACTGGGTTTACAGACAGAAATGGAATGCATAGACATCAGGAGTACCTGACAAACGGTGATAATAAAGGTAGGAAGCAGAAACACAGCTACAGTCATCCAGGTGACATACGCTTTCAGCCCCCAAGGCTCAGCAAAATTCCCCCAGCACTCAAACACCCCTGGAGAGACCTCTGACCTGGAGAAAATAAACACCTGTAGGAAAAATATGTAAAATATTTCAGAATATTTCCTTTTTTTTGTTTCATGGAATAAATAGCATATTGGTTTGTAATGACCTGAAGGTGAATAAATAATGGCAAATTGTTGGGTGAACTATCACTGTAAAGAAATAGTTCACACCAAAAATTAAAATTTGCTGAAAATTTACACACAGTCAGACCATTGAAGATTTAGATGAGTTCGTTTCTTCATCAGAAAAGATTTGGAGAAATTTAGCATTACATCTCTTGCTCACCAGTGGATCCTCTGCAGTGAATGGGTGCTGTCAGAATGAGAGTCCAAACAGCTGATAAAAACACTCCAGTGCATCAGTTAATGTCTTGTGAAACAGAGGTAAGGAAGCAATGTTATATTGGCCAGAAACCATTGTTTAAAGTTAAAAGGTCTTAAAGGAGTAGTTCACTTCCAGAATGAAAATTTCATTCAGTTGATGAGCACCACTGACTTCCATAGTAGGAAAAAAAATACTATGGAAGTCAATGGTGCCCATCAACTGTTCGGATGCCAACATTTTTCAAAATATCTTATTTTGTGTTCAACAGAGGAACGAAACTCATACAGGTTTGGAACAAGTGGAGGGTGAGTAGATGATGACAGAATCTTCTGGAAATGAACTACTCCTTTAATGATGGATTTGTTTATTACAAACACACAGTTTTTCACTTCAAGGTCTTAATCAATGGTACGGAGTCTTATTGATTACTTGGGTTTTTATCAGCTGTTTGGACTCCCATTATGATGGCACCCATTCACTGCAGAGGATCCATTGGTGATCAAGTGATGTAATACAAAATTTCTGTTCAGATGAAGAAAAAAACTTCTTTTTTTCCCCCATTTTCGGGTGATCTATACCTTTAAGAATGCATATTCACTGACTGATACTACCTAACATTTTAAGTGTAGTAGGCCTAAACCTTACATTATATTTACAACTAGTACCTGTGGCACACTGAGAACAAGGGCTAGACCCCAGGCTACCATGATGGGTGTATTCCAGCGTGAAACTGCCCCTCCTTTGTAAGCCTGCAGGGGGCAGCAGATGGCATTATGGCGGTCCACTGTCATAGCAACAATCATGTAAGAGGATGCAAACATTCCCACAATCTGCAGATATTTGACTGAGCGGCACAGCACATCAGGACCTTGAAATCTCTCTGTGATATCCCATACTAGCTGCGGGAGCACCTGCAAAACATTAGTGTACTGCTGTTGACAAGTCACATAAAAGACAAAATGCCACACTAAGCATTAGACAAAGTTCAACTCACCTGAAAAAACGCCACCACAAGGTCTGCAACACACAGATTGACCATAAATAGGTGCATGGGTGCGTTGTATTTGCGCCGCCTCAACAGAACCCACAGTACAAAACTGTTCCCTAGTGTTGTGAGAGCGAGAACCAGGCCCAGAACTCCAATCTCAGCTTTAGCCAGAGATATGTCCCGCACCCTGACCGGACCGGGCATCTGAGTGGGGTTTACTGAGCTGTTTTGAGACATCAACCAGAAGTGTGATCCTCCTTTGAAAGTGCTGTTGAGTCCAGTATGCTCAGAGAATGAGGAGGAGGAGAAGTTAGACAATGCAACGGTTGCATGGAGGGATCCTTCCCAACCTACCTCCCCTGAGACGGTCTCCATGCCTGCAAGAAAAAAAGCATGATTGTCACAAAAATGTGAGAAAAGATGAGAATCAGCATATTAGAATAATTTAGGGCCCTTGAGAAAACAAAAATGGCTTTGCCATCACAGGAATAAATTACTTTTTAAAATATACTAAAATAGAAAACAGTTTATTTAAATTGTAATAATATTTTGCAATATTACAGTTTGTACTCTATTTTTGATCAAATAAATGCAACCATTGTGAAATCTTTCAAAAAAACTTTAAAAATCGTAATGATAACAAACTTCTGACCTTTAATGTAACATGGCCATCACACATTGCATTGAAACTCTCATCTTTAATCTTGTTTTATGATTTGAACTTTTGCCACTCAGTTAGTTTAGCAATTTCACAGACACACAAAAAGCAAGCAAGCCAATCTGTTTCCTCTTACACTGTTTGGTTTGTTAAATTCCCCAGGGATGCTGTTATCCCCCCCCCCCCCCCCCCCC